AACAAAATGGTAAGATTAAAAAAAATGTCGTTTGTGATAATTGTTGTTCAAACTGATTTGTTTTAGATGCAAGCTGATGCATGGGGTTGCCCTGTGATGCTGCCTTCTCCTGCTCCATATTTTTCAGATCCTCAGGTGAGTGTTTATTATTATTATTATTATTTATTTATTTTTCAAGAGTTCAACTGAAATTAACCTTTTTATCTGGTGTAATTATTATTATTATTATTATTTTGCCATATTGCAGCAAATTTCAGCATCCCACAACGTGTATACAGCAACTAAGAGCTATGGCACGCCTCAAACTTCATTTGATCTTCAACCAGTAAATAAAGAGGCTTCAAAACTTTATTTTAGCATTTGCAAATAATAGTAATAATAATTAATTCCAGTTTTTTTCCTTTTTGTAGGATGAGGAGGTGATTGACGAGATTGTAAATGAGGTAATGAGGAAACCACGGTCATCTCTTCCATTGGGGCTTAAACCTCCTGCAGAGATTCTTGTGGAAGAGCTTCCAAGGCAAGGAATCTCCACTCTTACACCTCAAATCAACGCCTTCAATCCTCCCTGATCCCACTCTCTCGTCCTTCTTTTGCATTGTAATACTACAAATATGTTTGGGTTAATCCAACGTGCCCAATTAATCTTTATTTTTAAAAAATTAATTTATGTAATTTCCATTATTTAACATGGTTTTTAAAACTATTATACAATTTTAAATTAATTTTTTTAAAATATTTTTTCAGTATCTATTCACACCGACCGAAAGAATGGCTCAATCTCTTTCAATTAAAAAAAATCTCTCCTCTCAAATGGTTGTTTTTATCCATTAGTTTTGAAAACAGACTAAACTAAAATACGGAGACTCGTGACATGACACTCCCATGAAAATATTGTAGCATAACTTAACTGCAACTTAATTTTTTCACGCACATGCTTTAGTGACCAAATTATGATTTGTAAATTAGGGTTTCGATTTTAAGCTCGTAGATTGTTTTTGGCTTTTTTTCTTCAAAATTTGAGTCGAAATACTCAAATATTAATGTTCTCCATAAGAATGTTGAAATATATTGACCGTGACTCGATTTTTTTTACGCGCGTGCTTTGAACGATCCAATTAGAATTTCAAAACTAGGATTTTGGTTCTAGGCACGTACTGATATTTTTATACGCTGTATTTCTTCAAAAATTGGATCGAAATTATGGAATTTAAACATTTCACACATCGATGTTGTCGAAAGGTTGACTAATAGAGGTACAAGATTTAAATGTTGATAATGATTTTGTTTTATTGGTTTGTGGCCATAATGAGTGTGAAGTACTTGTTAAGCTGCTTCTGTAGCGGCGACTGGGAGGGTCGTAAGGTATTGTAATATATCATTCCCTTTTACTTCTGTTGCCGCAACTGTGAAATTTTTTGCAACGAATTTATCATCGAAGAGCAAACATTAGACAACAAAAGTTGAGTTTGGTGCGATGAAAAGCTAATGTGTTTTAACGAGATAGGTGAAGTGATTTGTCACCCAGCGCCGTTGGCAAAGATATGCTTACCTGCCTGTGATCTTTTCTTGGCCCCATTTCCTCCTTTGTGGCCGACTACTTCACCGATTTGCCACCCTGGCCCAATAAAATCAAGCCTTCATGTACCCTACGGTAGTGGAAAATATTTTGCATGTGCCTCTACTAAGAAAAAATTTTCACACTTTTATAAGAGTGTTTTATTTCTCTTCCTAACTAAGTTGATATTTCACAATCCACCCCCTTGGGAACACAACTCCTCGCTAGCACGTCGTTCGGTGTCTAGTTCTGATACCATTTATAACAGTCCAAGCCCACCACTAGCATATATTATTCATTTTTGCCTGTTACGTATTGTTGTCGGCCTTACGATTTTAAAATGCATCTATAGAGAAAAGTTTTCACATCCTTATACAAAATGTTTTGTTCCCCTCTCCAAACACTTTTACTAATAAAGATTAATTCACCTTAAATGTACAACTTTTTTTATTCTATATTTACCATGTCAAAGAGTTGGACGAAAAAACAACTATTATCTATTTGAGTCAAATTTCTCCCTAAATTATGTATCATTTTAAACCATATAAGCATCTAAATTAGATTAATAAAAAACATTGGCTATAAGCCAACTTTGTCATCGAATTCTAGAACTTTAGTTAAGCAAATTCAATGAGTGGATTTCGTATAATGACGAGGACATTTTGTAGCATTGTTCCACAAATGAAATGACATAACTCCATTTTAACCACTAATATTTTAGATTTTAAATTTTCAATCGAATTGATGCGATCATTATACTATATTCGAATGGAATGAATGAGATCGTTCATCTACTTGAATAAAGTTTGAGAATTAGTTTAAGTTAAATTATAAGTTTAGTTCTTTACCTTTCATGTTTATTTGTAATTATCTTACTTGTTCCCTACATTAACGAAATTGTTTACTTCCTGCAAAAACACTTTCATATTTGCTAGGTTTTGACTTTAAATTTTATGTACAACAGATCTCTCGTGTATTACAAAATTAACAAATTATTAGATATAGAATTGAATTTTGTGTCTAATAGGACAAACATAAAAGTTAAGGACTTAAATTTATAATCTTACCATTACTTTATTTTACGTAGGTAGAAGAGTTGGTTCAGGAAGATTCACGAATAGATCGGTACCCGAGACTGGTCAACGGAGATGGAAAAGAAGTATGTGAATGACAAGGTATGAAAATATTTTTTCATTTCATTTCTAATTTCTTATATAGATTAAGATAACCTTATCTATAAATAAAATCACGATGACTAGATAAGGAACTCGTCCAACATGCACCTAACTTTCCTACTTCCTCACGAGGTTGTGGGTTTGAATTCCCGACCTCACGTGTGATTTATTATTCTAAAAAGAAAAATACGTATATTATAACAATATAAATATGGTTAATTTTTAACTTGCGATGAGTTGTGCAAAATTCTATTTGTTTATGTAAGGGAACTTCTTCTCTCCGAACCACGTAAATATCTTGGTATCTCTTTGTGTAATTCCGTTCATTGTGGTTGTGAATACATTTGTTCCGCTTTCAATGCACAACAGTAATATACTCCAAAATGGAGAAGGGTGAGTCATATATATGCTTGATCGAATTATAGAATCGGGTTTTTTTCTCCATTCTCATGCTATGTCGACTTTCTTCCATTCATTTAGTTTTGAAAAATGACGAGCCGAAGGCAGTAGTTTCGTGACATGACGCTCGTCCACGAGGACATTGTAGCTTAGGTGGTTAATAGAAAGAATGAAAAGAAGAGGTACAAGATTTAAAAGTCCATAATTATTCTGTTTTATTGTTGTGTGAGGTAGTTGTTAAACTGGTTGTGTTGCGACAACTGGAGCCTGTAGGGGTATGAGGTACTCTAATATTATTCCCTTTTCTATCTTTGCTTGCCCCTTCCCACCTCGAGAAGCCCACAGTGTCCACTTCAAGATCTCTTAGCGGTGAGATATTGTATTTATTAGTTATGGAATATATCTTCGATATTTATTTTAATTTTTTTATGATTTAATTTATAGAAATTTTATTTTATTTTCAATATTTAATTAATTTATATAAATTGGTTTTAAAACGTTTTTTTTTATAATTTATTTATGAGGTTATATTTAATTATTTAGTTCTTATGCTTAAAAATATATACATATATATAATGTCAAAGCGAGTGGGTAAAGTAGATGGCCACAAGTGAGTCATATATATACTCGGTTTATTTGGACTAAGTCTCTAAAGTATCTAAAATGACATTTTTATATTAAAAGACGATTGTTTTACGTAATTTAAATTGCATGTCGACTAGTTTGTATATCATTGAAACTAATTTTATTAATCACAAACAACTTTTTTCTATTCTAAATTTATCGTTAATATTATTTATTAATATTATTTGATTTGAATGAAGCTCCGTGCTAAATTATACGTGATTTCCTTCACAAATCTTAACATAATTAAGAAAAGGGAGCTCATAAATAAAATAGAAATCACAATATTTAGAGAAATGTGCATTTAAAACCACAAGGGAATCATAGAAATGAGATGAATAAAAACATTTGTTAAAAGCCAACCTCTGTCAGCTAACTTCTTAGCTTTTAGTCACTCAACTTCAAGAGTGCATGTACTTTAATCAACACCAAATTTTTTAGAGTTAAGCGAACCACGTGTTTCAATTTTAACCATCAATATTTTAAAATTTAAAATTTAAATTGAATTAATATCGATATTATTAGATGATAAAAGTCCCACGTCGCCTAAATATTTAGGAAATATCATGCATTTATAAATAAAAAATACTCTCTCCCAGCCCAAACAGCATGAGAGCTTATGAAAAAGGACAATATCATACTTGGAGAGTGTGGAGTGTGTTGTTAATTTAGGGTGGAAAAGGTAAAATATCTCCATCCAGCCGAAATATGAGGAAACCACTGTAGTCTCTTAGGAAAAGAGAAAGAGTCCCCATGAAAATAACTTACGACGACGTAAGAGTGTTTGTCGACGTTGCTAATTCCTACATTTTCCTCTGTAAGCTTTCCTCTTCCATGTCACTTTTCTTTGAATTCTTCCAATGTTTGAGCCGAACAAATTATTCGACATGTTTCTTGATTGCCATGAATGCAGATGTATGGTCAGCACTCGTAAGGATCCGTACTCTCTCACAGTTCCGGTCTCTTTCGATGTTCTCTCTTTCCGTTTCTTTTTATTATTTTTATTTTGTATTTATGTAGATGCAGAGGCTATGATTCGGCCAGAGGACGAGGCGAAAGCATGATTGAGGTAATCTCCAAAGCGCCTTCTCTAATGTATTATCGTTTTCTCCAAAATGTCTCGCTCTTGCACATTTGTGAAATTTCGATTTCTGTTCGTTGTTTGTTGTAAATATGTTGAAATTTCCATTTCAAATGAAGATGATATGAAGATGTATGAGTTTTTTTAGCAGTGACCTAAGAAACTAGCCGAGCGAGCTATGGTTTGCACTGCCGACGATTTACAAGAATGGAAAGACTTTCCTAAGGGTCTGAGAGTTCTTCTCCTTGATCGGGACGGCCACTCCGCGGCCGAGATAACATCAACACTTGAGGAAATGGAGTATGTTGGTGAGGAATTTTCGAACTCCCCTTGTTTTTTTCATTTAAGATGTATTTTTGTTAGAAATCCTCGTTCGTTGTTATAAGGCACTGTTGCTTTGCTATCTTCTTCAATATTCAAATGTATTTGTATTCTGTTTATACCTTTTTAATGCTAATTACATGTATTGTGGGTGAGTTGGAGTTACGAACCGATCGAAAATGCACTTATTTTTACTTTCTAGGAAGACTTTAGAGTTTCATGGTTTCTTCCGGAAAATGTGTGTTTCCAAATATTAATTTGTTGAAGATCTGAGTTCTTTCTATTATGATGCCATTTCCACGTCTCTCTGTTCCTTTAAGAAGTTTTCTTTCTAGTTTCTTTTCTATGATATAGAGATTTCACTTCTGTGTTGAGAAGTTTCACTTGGCATATTGCAGTCTGTTACTGTAGTGATGAGAAGGAAGCTTTGTCAACAATTTTGAACACACCGGAAAACTTCCATGTTGCAATTCTGGAGGTATGTCTAATCACTTTCAGAGAGGAACTATGCATGTACACCATAAATCTGACTCCTTAAGTTTGCTTGCTTGATAATATCCAGTTCTCGTGATGATTGGACTAATCAGTAGCAATATTAACTTCGTTAAATTCTGCTTCAGTTCTCTGATCACTTTTAAATTGTAGCTCCTCAATGTTCTTATAGTAACATTTATCTTTTTAAATTCTTGGATCCATCTCTGATTCAGATGTGCAAAGGAAATTATGATGAGAGTTTTAAATTGCTTGGAAGTTCCAAGGACTTGCCAATCATAAGTAAGTTAACAACCAAAACTGGTTTCTTCTCAAAAGAAAAAAGACGGTTTCGAATAGCAAATTGTTGGATGTTTTTGAAAGCTTCCTCCAACAAACTTTACGGTTCCTGATCTGACTCTGAGATTATGTTGTTCTATGGCACAGTGACTTCAGATGTTTATTGCCTAAGTACCATGATGAAGTGCATTGCAGTAAGAACTCCAATCTGATTTCTCTTTAACCGACCGTTTTGGTAATTCTAAAACTGGACTTTAGTTCCTTTCAAGGTTCCTCAGGGACCGGTAACCATGTATGTTTTGCAATAACTGGTTTTGGTATCCACTTTTCTTGTTGGTTTGAGATACCAGTCTCTAAACAAAGCTAGTATCTATAGTTTTTATTTGGTTTCCAGCAGAATTTGATGCTCAGATTATAACTATCTAGGGATCTAGATTTACAATTTTCGTTTAGCTTGGTGCAGTTGAGTTTTTGCTGAAACCACTCTCTGAGGACAAATTGAGGAATATCTGGCAGCATGTCCTTCACAAGGTATTTTTCAGTTCTGGAAAACTTTGCACTGCTAAGAAAACATCGAATATAATGAGAACATATTGACCAACGATGTTCTGAGAAGGCATTTTCCAGTACACCGAAGCCTGAAGTAGACTCCGCAGCATCCTTGATGCAGCTCCAATTAGAGAGTGAAGACAATAATGGAGTTCTGGAAGATACGGAAGTTCTTTCTTGGATTCAAGACGTTGTATGGGAGCAAGAGAAACCAGAAGGAAGTGGTATATCTCAACTGAACCAGGGATCATCGTTGCAAGGTTGCTGGGAAAGTGAAAATCAAATGAACTGTCCAATGGAAACAGATAGCAGTGACAAAGATGTACAGTCTAACTTCATCGAAACTACTTCACATGATTTGGTTTGTGAAGACACCCTTCAGGAGGGCCAACCTCGATTATCTGGCAAGGTAATGCTCGAAGGAGATAGGAACTTTGTAGTTGGCTTAAACGCAGAAAGCGACCTTTATCTTCCCTTGCAGAATAAATCTGGCGTCAAAAGTGGTCCTTCAGCCGCTGAGCACTCAATCCAAGGATCTGATGTAAACCCTTCAGCTAGTTCCAAAGCGAGGAAAACAAAGGTAATTTGATTATCTGATACGAAAACGCAAAATTTTGAAAAGTGCCTTCTATCTGTATTGCTCTAAGGTCATATATCTAGATTACAAAACTCATTCAAATCTTTGAACGTTATCATGTCTATAAATATATGTTTTCAAATGCGACTTCTACTGTCCATTAGGTGGACTGGAGCCCAGAGCTACATAGAAAGTTTATTCAGGCAGTCGAACAGTTAGGCATAGATCGTGCAATTCCTTCCAAAATACTTGAGTTGATGAAAGTTGAAGGTTTGACAAGGCACAACGTTGCAAGTCATCTCCAGGTTTGCCACCTAGGCTTTTTGTTCCCTTAGATATTAAACTTGTTTCATGCACTTGTTCATATATCCTACAAATTCATGTATCTATAAGTGCATTAAACTCGTTTAATGTCTAACATGTTCTTCTAATGCTGTGTTAACTTGCAAAATTAAGACCGTATTGATTTTTCTGTTTTCAAGTATAAAATAAGTTTCCTCTTTTCCTTTTCCTCTTTATGTCGTTTATGCAGAAGTACAGGATGCAAAGGAAACATGTGATGCACAGAGAAGAAAATCCAACAAGATATTCAATGCAAACCAATCACTCCCCACCAATCATGGCTTACCCTTCTTCTTATCCTTACTGTGGAATATCCATGTCCACCGTCTATCGAACATGGACGCAGACCAATGGCCATCCAGCTAATGTCAACATGCGGGGTCCGCCGCCTGATTATCGCTATTGGCCGCAACCAGGAACTCAGCCATGGAACTCTTATGCTGGGGTAACGTTTTCCATTCTTGGATTTCATTGTGAAATAGCGAGACTCCATCCACAACCATCCAAATTAAAAACCTTGTACGTCAATGCATTAGAAAAATAGTAACATGTTTCTTTGAAAAATTCATTGTTCTCGATACGCGTTAGGTACAAAGAAACAAGAAACAGAGTGATTTTTTCGAAAATTCTACTTTTCTTGATTCTCAAAATTCATGTAATTTTTTTTTTTTTTTAAAAAAACCAAAATCTTGATGTCACTAACCTGTTAAAGCTACTGGTCTCTAAAAACAAACAACACGGTAAGATTAAAAAAAATGTCGTTTGTGATAATTGTTGTTCAAACTGATGTTTTTTAGATGCAAGCTGATGCATGGGGTTGCCCTGTGATGCTGCCTTCTCGTGCTCCATATTTTTCATATCCTCAGGTGAGAGTGTATTTTTTTTATTTTAATTTCTTGCAAGAGTTCAACTGAAAATAACTTTTTTATTTTGTGTAATCATGGCAATTGTTATTATTATTTTATTTTTTGCCATATTGCAGCAAAGTTCATCATCACACAATGTGTATACAGCAAATAAGAGCTATGGCACGCCTCAAAGTTCATTTGATCTTCAACCAGTAAATAAAAAGGCTTCAAAACTTTATTTTAGCATTTGTAAATAATAATAATAATTAATTCCAGTTTTTTTCCTTTTTGTAGGATGAGGAGGTGATTGACGAGATTGTAAATGAGGTAATGAGGAAACCACGGTCATCTCTTCCATTGGGGCTTAAACCTCCTGCAGAGATTCTTGTGGAAGAGCTTCCAAGGCAAGGAATCTCCACTCTTACACCTCAAATCAACGCCTTCAATCCTCCCTGATCCCACTCTCTCGACCTTCTTACTATAAATATGTTTGGGTTATATTATAAAATAAATTTATGTAATTTCAATTTTTTATTTGAGGTATCATTCATAATTTTTAAACTATTTTTTTAATTTTTAAAAAATTTATCTATCCAAACTTTTTAAACGACTCATTGAAAAATCTACGAAGAGCAAACATCAGACAAAAAAGTTGAGTTTGGTGCGTTGAAAAGCTAATGTGTTTTGTATTAGATTAGTTTTGACGAGATAGGTGAAGTGATTTGTCACCCAGCGCTGTTGGCAAAGATATGCTTACCTGCCTGTGATCTTTTCTTGGCCCCATTTCCTCCCTTGTGGCCGACTACTTTACCATGTCGCCACGATGGACCAATAAAATCAAGCCTTCATGTACCCGACGGTATCATATGCCAATTATTGTTCATAACATGATAATATGCTAGATTTGAATGGAAAACATTTTGCATGCCCAGCTAGTTAGTTACTCCACCATTCGGAGTGTTAGCATCTGAAGTAATGTAATAGCGAATGAAGCAATGTAGTAGCAGATATTATTCGCTTTCGCTTTGACTCATTACATATGATCCTCAGCCTCATAAGTTTATAAGAAGAGGTTTTCACACTTTGTAAAAAGTGTTTTATTTCTCTTTCCAACCGACTAAGATTTTATAATCTACCTCTATGGGTACCCAATTCCTCATTTGCACGCTGCTCGGTGTTTGACTCTTATACCATTTGTAACAGTCAAAGCCTACCACTAGCATATATATCCATTTTGACCTGCTACGTATTGTTGTTAGCCTTTAAAACATGTCTATTAGAGAAAAAATTTCACATCCTTGTACGAAATGTTTTGTTTCCCTCTCCAACCCACGTGGGATTTCACAAATAATTTTATTAATAACACTTTTACTAATACAGATGAATTCATGTTAAATGTACAATTTTTTTTATTCTATGCTTACAATGTCAAAGAGTTGGACGAAAAAACAACTATTATCTATTTAAGTAAAATTTCTCCTTAAATTATGTATCATTTTAAATCATATAAGCATATAAATTAGATTAATAAAAACATTGGCTATAAGCCAACTTCGTCATCGAATTCTAAAACTTTAGTCAAATTCGATGAGTGGATTTAGTATAATGACAAGGACATTTTGGAGCATTGTTTCACAAATGCGATCGACATAACTTCATTTTAACCACTAATATTTTAAATTTTAAATCGAATTGATGCGAATAATGTACTAATATTCGTACTATATTTAACTTTTTTTTGCTCTCAAATCATATAATATAAGTATCATTAAAAATAATTTTTCGGCTCATACTAAAATTTGAATCACACGATTAAATATCAAATAAAGTTTTCAACATAATCACGGTGGACACTCGTTAGTCTCGCAATTATTTATTTATTTAATATTTTTATTTTATAATTTCTTCAATCAAATATTTTCGAGTAATTACCCTAATTAATGGCTTTTGTTTTTTCCTTTCTTTATCATAGAGCTTTACAAAATTCCACACGGTGGTGCCACGTGGATAGATATTTCCCATTTTGTTCATCTGAAGACCAACGTCAACCACCCTTCTCTTTCTTTAAACATAATTTTGAATTAAAATTAAAAACCCCAATATTTAAATGAAATTAAAAAGAATTTATATATATATATATATATATATATATAATTTATTTCGTAGCAATTTATATGCGCTATATTAAAAAAATTTATATAAATAAAAAATGAGTAAAAAAATAATAAGTGAAGTTATGAAGTTATCTGGACAGTTGAAACATTGACATTAATAATATTAAATTTTTATTTCGACGATTAAAATAAAATATATATTTTAAAATATCGAGAACCACAAGAGTAGAATCTGTGGGCTGGCAAACCATGGACGTAAAAGAAGAATTGAAAAACAACCGTAGTCTTAGTTGCATCTATAGAGCTATGGTTTTGACATAACATCCTAATGACTCCAAAACCCCTAAACAAACAATACACCAAAACGCTAAAATTCATAAATTCTATGCCCTCCTTCCCCTTTACTTGGAAACAAATCTGTCTTTTTCCGCAATCTTGCTTTGATTTTTTGAATCTTCTTTCAGATCAATTTAATGTTCAGATTTGATGTATCTTAATTTAATATATATCCAAAACCTTAGCATTTTAGATTCCTTTCCCTAAGTTCTCTTACACGTATTCGTTACACCAATTTATTATAAATGGTATCAAAGCTAGATATCAAGTACGATGTGTCAACGAGTACGCTAAGCTTTCGAGTAGTATGAATTGTGACATCCCACGTCGGTTAGAGAGAGAAACGAAACATTCTTATATAGGTGGAAATTTTTTCTTAAGATACACGTTTTAAAACCGTGAGGTTGACTACGCATATAATATTTAACTATCATACTTACTCTTTTAGTTTCATCAAAATTTGTTCTAAATTTAGACAAATGTTACCATTTTTTTCTTGTTAAAATTTATAATCATGTGGACTTAATAAATTATAAAAGAGTACAATAATATATATATATATGTGTTAGGAATCGCGATTCTTCACGTTGGTATGATATTATCCATCTTGAACATAAGCTCTCATGGCTTTGTTTTGCTTTGGGCTTCCCCAGAAAGCCTATTAGTATTTCTTATTTATAAATTCATGATTTTCCACTAAATTGACCAATGTAGACTCACTTCCAATAATCTTTAACGGTGTGTGTGAGATTTTAAATAAAACACAACATTGAGATAAATATTTTTTAAGATTATAATTTTTGGCAAAGTTATTTAATGATTGGCTCAGTACACCAATTCAACTTAATTTTGTGTTAAAGTTCAATCTTATTGAAACATTGTAAATTTTAGAAAATTTACAAGAAATCTCTACCAACACGCTACAAACTAACCTTAAATAGCCTAACAATCTTACTATAAGAAATTTTATTTTTTCCAACAAAAAAAAAAAAGTTGAAAAATATATATCCCGACAAAATATTTGAGTCGAATTATATATATGATGTAGGCATATTCCTCCTCAAATTTAAATATAAGCAAACCACAACATTAGCTGACAACCTCCGCATACATCGAAGTTACGTAATAAAATCGGTAATATATATTGTATATATATAATTATTAAATTGTTTAATATTACCTCATAATATAAATAAATTCAAACTAGTAGCCAATTATTTCATAATATTTATTTAGTAAGTTTCAACGTGCACATCTTATTTGAAAGTGTCGTTAAAGTAGATAAAGATTAAATTATAATGTGGTATCCCAATTTCCTATCTTTACTTTTTTTGTAAAAAAAAGGTTATTATTTATGATCGAATTTTTAATTTTTTTAATTTTTTTAGTTTGATTAATTTGAGTTTTATTCCACCATCACTGTAAATGGCTCCTAATTAATTTAATTTACATATTTAATTTTCTGATATGAATCAAGAGACATCAATCATTCAATATGCTTTAATGAAGAGCCGAAGAAAATAATGTTGAAATTATCAAAAAAATATTTCAATTCATGCCACCTTGGAAAAGAATGAAGTTTCATGTTTTAAAAATTTTGGGTGGATTATAATTTAGAGTTATTGTATTTCATTAATGTATTTTAAGACTTTTAATTTACTCTATGTTACAATTATGGTTAATTATGGCTATTAAGTATGAATGTTACAACTCTTTGAATGCCTTTTTATTTTGAGGGTGTATAAAGTCATGTATGTTGTATTTGTAAGAGACTTGGAAATTATATTAAAAGAAGCCTTTGTGCTTTTCTTTAGTCCTAAGTTTTTTTTTGCAATTCTATGTAGTTTAGGTTGCACGTAGAATCATTCAAGCTCGACATAATCAATCTTGCTTGTGGAGTGATTCGAATCTCAATAAAGTGTTCTTGCGTTGAGATATTTGATCAACAAGAGTCATTCAAGCTAGACATGATCGATCTTGCTTGTAGAGTGATTCGAATCTCAAACAATGTTCTTGCCTTGAGATATTCGATCAACAAGGTAATCCGAATCTTATTCTCCTTGTATTGATTCCTTATCTTATCATTTTCCCTTCGAACTTCCCCCTCAATACTTTAAAATTCGTTTGTTAGGGGAAGGTTTCCATACCCAGGTGTTTTGTTATTCTCCCTAACCAATGTGGGACATCACAATCCACCTCCTTTGAGGCCAGCATCCTCAGTGGCACTAGTTCCTCAATTGCGATGTCTCACATTGGTTGGGAGGAGAACAAGACACCATTTACAAAGGTGTGAAAACCTTACCCGAACAAATGAGTTTTAAAGCCTTGACGGAAAACCTAAAAGGGAAAGCCGAAAGAAGGCATTATGTGGATATGGGGGAGGTAATTTAAAAAAATTCATAAAACTGATTTTTTTTAATACAAAGACTTGGTAAACAATTTTAATAGTTTAGTGATAAAAGTTTTAAATTTAGGAATAAATAAATGAAATGGATTTTTTTTTTTTTTTTTTAAGAAAACATTACACGTGTNGATCTGTAGAGAGTAGGATCAGAGAAAGGAGAACCATCAGCAGTCAAGTGTTGAGAAACAACCATGGTCTGAATCATCTGGTTCGTCAGAGCCTGATTTTCCATCGACGTCATCATGAACGTCTGAAACATCTCCGCTGAGGGCATGGCTAATGGCTGGTTTAGTGGGACTGCTGTACACGGGGTTGGATCCGATGGGGCCTCCTCGGAGAAGGGAGTAGTAGGGGGTGTCTCAAGCCGCCTTCGGGCCTTGGCCTTCATTCGGCGTCTTTTCGATCTTGATGGCTGTGGTACTGTCCCCTCGCTAGTTTGGGGCATATCCCCAACCTCCTCCTGAAGTTCAGGTTGTTCCTCTTCAGGTGTTGCAACCGAGGTGTCCTGAACTTCCTCTCTTCTTCCCCTTCTAGGTCCTGGCCCTACGTACGGTTCGCGTCTCTTTGGTGCCATTATCTACCAGGATAACACAGAACTATGGTCACAATTCATTCACAACACATCTCTTAGGTAATGTGCGATATAATGCCCTAGTCAGTCATGGTATGCTTTATAAATACTAACTTAACCTTTGTCTCCATGTTTCCGTCGCGTGAGAACGTCTGGTCGTGAGCG